CCTAATTAAAGTCAATCTTTTATTGTTTTACGACGGGATCTAGATTCAGTCGGGTCTTAAAGTCGCCTAAAAGATGGTAATTAGGTAGAGATTTCGGAACGAAGGGTTCATGGTTCATATTGGTCGCCTCCCCTCTAAGCTACTGTTTCGGGTCCCCGACTTGAGCTCGTCAAGATAGGAGTTGGCTTTGACTTTGGGAGGCTTTGGAGGGCCGGAGAGAGGACCACCTTGGATGTTCTCACGCCGTGTCTTGTCGCCGAGCAGTTGGGCTGTCGTGTTAATTTAGAGGTGGGCATGGCGGATCGCGAATTCGAGACTAGAGCAGGAACTATTGCCTGACATAGAAGAGTTGATACTTGGGGAAGAGAAGATCTGTAGATGATGCTTGAACTGGGTGACGATGAAAAATTGGGCCAGGCTGTGCTTATTCTTTTTTTAGTCCCGATACTCTTGATTAGATCTTGCATCGCGAATCTAAAGAATAACCTAATCACATAGCTCACTGCACGTGTTTTCTTTTTGTTATGTTATGAGGTTTGCGCAGGTCATTTTTTGACGCACCATAATTCGTTTTTCCGTCGCTTCCAATATAGTTTCGAATAGTCGAGCTTGGACGTTTTAGAAAAAAATAAGCGTGTAGAGTATAGCTTTTCACCGAGGCAAAACTATTTTTATCTATTTAAGTGTATTTAAGCATGGGTCGCCAATGTAATTTTTAATTTTCGTCAATTCTACATGCCCTTGTGAATTTTCGACATCACGTGAGATCCGGAGCTTAGTAATTCCTACCGTTCAAAGCATAATAAGTTCAATCAAAGAACATATAGTTCGGGGTTTTTTTCTTTTTCTTTTTTGAATAATCTAATATTTGGATGAACGAACAAAAAAGGAAACACATGGACACGAAAATTTTGAGGGTGGTGGGGGTGAAACGCACGACGCCCGTCGATGCGGTTCCTGTCGGCTAGCGGGACATGAGGGTCCGAGATTTAGATCCAAGGGCAAGCGAACAAAGAGAGAGAGAGAGCCATGTTTTCTACACGGACAAGGACCGGTACAACGAAAGGGTCGGCAAAGAATACTATTTTGACATGCTCAAGCCCGGCAAGATAAACTTAAAAAAGAGCATGCGTGAACTTAAAAAGGGCCCAAAAAACCAAAAAGGTTACTCTAGAAGAGCACGACCCGAGCCACCACCGGACGAGACAGCCGGCGGGTCCCGCCGACGCCCACGAGCTCTTTTCCCCCCCTCCAACCACGGAGACGGAGAGAGGGAGGGATTAAAAATACGCATGCTCGGGACCAATGATTATCCGTGGCAAGACGGCCCTCTCCCTCCTCGGATTTTTTTTGGAGGGACCGTCTTTTAATCTCCATACGCCATTGATCGACGTCGCGATCCGAGACGGGATATCTTTATCCCGTAAGTGGGCCCTCTCCTCGGCCTGCAGGACGGACGCAGATCAAAACACGACCAACCGACCCCGGTTCCGACCCTCCCCTACCAAAAAAAAGACGAGAGAAAAAGAAATCGTCCCCGATTTAAATCCGGGCCGTTAAAGACGGATCGACATAACCCGCGCCCTCTTTCCCTCCGTAGATTTAGGTCCTCATTGGCAAATTACGAAAGGGGACGTCCTTATCCCTAAAAACGCTGGACCTTTTTTCTTTTGGAGCCTTTCTGCGTAAAATTGCTGACACCGAGAAGAAGGAAACGCAGAAAAGGCCAATCTCCGCTTTCACGCGTTTTTCCCCAATTTTTATTTGGTCGTCGGCCCCCACCCCCCCCCCCGCACCACCCCCGATCCCCACATCTAACTGAAAGCTCTCTTGACGTTTATCTCCCATTCCGTAATTTTTCTTCTTGTTTTTTCGCCTCGAGGAATTACGGGCGCTTAAGTAATTCGCAAATTTTGAAAAATAAAATAAAATAAAATAAAAATTCGTCCCCGGAGCCTATCTAGTGCGGTCGGTTGATCGGATTTGAGAGATCGAAATATGTAAAAATGCTTACGGATAATGAGGAGAAAATACGTAGAAACTGCTTTGTCCGATTTTTTCGAAACATTGATCACGGATAATGAGAAAATATAAGTTATTACGCCGCGGTTCTTCGATTAAGGAGACCTAAGCACACGAGAGAAAAAAGGGAATTACCGACGCTTAAATAATTCGTAATTTGAAAAAAGAAAAAAAATCGTACCCGGAGCTTATCTCCTGTGATCGGTTGATTGGATTTGAGAGTTCGAAATATGTAGAAATTGCTTACGGATAATGAGGAAAAATATGCAGAATCCGATTTTTCAAAATATTGATTACGGGTTCTTCAATCGAGGAGATCTAGTTGAGATCCTGGACACGGTGTCTCGATTAGCACCGAAGAGTAAAAAGGGCAAGTCCACGCAAGTGATTACTTTCTTGATTTTGTCCACATTGGTTCGTCTCTATCCGGATACGATTAATTTTGCATCGAAAGTTAATAACTATTTAGGCCACGAGCGAATCTCTAGGCGGTCATTCTTAGGCGCGACATTAGACTCGATCCATTTAGGCTCACATTGGTTCGAAGCAAATGATATGTTTGGGCATCTTACGTTATTCGGTCATATTCATTTAAAAATTACAAGCTTTTTTGATGTCTTTTTTACAGTAGAATATTTGAAATCTACCTAAGCTATTTCAGTACAACCTATATAGATAGAGATTGCGTTTGCGTAATCCAGACTTGATTGATTGACTTTTACTTTTCTATTTAATATAAATCTTGCGACTCATGCACTTTAATTTTTTTTTTCATTAATCCAAAACTGCTCGTATTTTCACGGTACTTAAAAAATATTGACAAGTAAATTTATGTATAACTTTTCCATAATTTTAAGCAACATAAATAAAACTTCGAATTTCGACTTAACTTTCGACTTCCCATAAAAGTAAACGGACAAGCCCTCCATTCCTATGATAGCTTGAGTCTAATAGCAACGAAATCGACGAGTCCTTTAGCATGCGCCGATTTAATTCAATTTTAAGTGCTAGTACCAATTATTGGGAGAAGAAAATCTATGCCAATCATTAATATATATTTCTCGCGTCGTTCTCGAATTAAATGTTCGAACATAATCTCTAGAGCTTCGCTAGTTCGACTTGCTAAAAAAAAAACCTCCATATGTTTTGAAATTCGCCGCGATGCAACGAATGAAATTAGAGAAGTTTAGTAATGATATAATCACAAACTTCACGCCATCAAATTCTCGATAATTACCTCGAGGACAAGTCGAGATTTGTCGATTCGTCTTTCAAATCAAGAGCAATCCAATCAGGGTCCCTCCACGAGGACCTGTATTTTAAATTCTCGACCGATTCTTTCGAAACTCGCATTTTTAATGATTATCCATTCCGAAATATTCGAAACATTTCCATATATCTAAGTATCGACATGTATCTTCACATACGGTTTTTCGTACTTTTAAAAATAAAGAAAATTACAAACAAATTATAAAATGGCAAATGAATGGCGCTGTGTAATGTTAAGAAGGGCGGTCGCTAGTGAATTCGTTTGGAGGCTTACGAATCCCCACGTAAACAAAAGGTAGGAGAGCCACACATCTACGGCGGGAGTATTCGTGTACGTATAGGTACGCGGCCCACTGCTTTTGATTGTCTCTTTCATTTGAACCAGAAAAAGGACAATAGTAACATGAACTGAAGTGACCGCCTAACTAAAATTAATTATATTGCGACCTATCGCGAATCGAGACAAATTAAAATTTTTTTTTTTTTTGGGTCGAGGACAAACTAAAACTTAAACCGTGAGAATTCAATTGACTTTCACGCCCCCACCAAAAAGCCTTGTGAAGATGGATTTCCAACCCAAATCACTAATCTTTCGAAAGCGACACACCGCCGATAGCCGACGCAAATCGCCATGTGCGTGCGACGAACGTCCGATCGATCGCTTCATATCGGAAATTGGTGTTTTCATATCCGTTTCCAGGGTGCGGTCGGAACCGTAAGATCGATCCGGGTTTCGATTTTTCTTTTTCCTAGTTCGATGTCTATCAAATTCCAATATTGTTTTCCAAACGAATTCGCAAAATGCCCAATAGCAACAAGGCGCGATGGAACCCCGGATCAGACAAATCATCGAGAGGGGGGGCCAAAATCGAAAAGAGAAAAAAAATCTCATTTCGAAACTCTTTTTGTTTTTTGTCAATGGAGTGGCGTGGCGATTTCTCTCTTACTCGATAGCGAGACAAGCGGTCACTTCTCCCCCCTCCCCGCCACCCCCGGCAATCCTCACATCTCATTTCGTGTGATGCGGTGGTGATCTTGTTCACATCTAAACCCCGAGTCCTTGTTGGGAGAATTATTAACTCTTTTTTTCTTTTTTTGGCCCATTTCCCCGCGCGACGTCACAAGTGACGTCATGAAGGATGTCCCGCCTCCTCCCTTTCCCCCATAATCGGCACTGCTTTCCCCCTCCTTAAGTTATTAATTTTTCCTTTGCTGTGACCGGAAAAAGAAAATTTTATTAATATTCAAATTCCCCTCACCCTCTGCTCAGATCTACTTTGGGCCGAGGGCGATTATCGCCAAAAATACAGGTCGCGCAACGACGTCGGATACGCGCGAGTCCAATTGATGAAGAGATGCCTATGTTACCCAGCGATTCTCAATCACTATTCGGATCAGGACTAATTAATGATTTGGGGATTTTACTATTTATTTTCCTTTTTTTACTCCTCGAGAAAGGAGAGGGATGCGGGGGAAGAGAGAGACGGAAAGAAAGAAAGAAAGAGAGAGAGAGAGAGAGAGAGAGATAGGCGTCAAGGAGGGAGCGTGTTTTGTGTGTGTGTATTTAGAGTTCAAATCGACGCAAATCCACGTAGAGAAAATCCTTCCCCCATTCTCTCTCCTCACAGCTGTTGCCTCTTTGGCTCGTCCTCTCTCTCTCTCTCTCTCTTCCATCTCCCCCCCCCCCCCCCTCTCCTCCCTCCCCTCCCTCTCTCTCTCTCTCTCTCTCCCCGATCGCCCATTCCGGTTCGGTCGGCGGAGCTGCGATCTTTGGCTTCGCCGCATTGCGCTCCTGCCCGGCGGATCTCGCCTCGTCTCCATCTCGGCGATTCGCACCGGCGCGTCCCGAGCCTCCGATCTGTAAGTCCCGCCCGATCTCGCGCCGCCCTTTCCCTTTTTTTCCCTGTTCGCTTTCTCGCGTTTGAGGTTCGTTGCGCGGAATTTGATCTCTCGCTGCCGTTAGGAATTCGCCGACCGCCTGTAGGAATAGCGAATTTGCGTGCTCGGTTTGAGTCGTTTGCCTCCGTTGTTGCGTTTTTTTTTTTTTTTTCTTTTGTTTTAGAGATCGCGCGGTGTGAGTGAGAATGACGGGCGATGCCGACGTGCACCGCGAGGCGTCCGTGGAGGTCTCGCTGTTGAATGGCAAAGTCGATGACGAGTGCGGGACGGACGGGAGAGCTCGGCAGGATCTGGTGAAGAGCGCGGCCGATTGCAATGGCGTGTCGCGCCGCGAGGCGGACGAGGAGGCGATCGATGATGGAACCGGGAATGGCAATGGGAACGGCCAGGATGATGCCGACGCCACCTATGTTTTCGTCAAAGGGAGTGAGGCTGCTGGTGAGGGAGTCGGCAGTGGCTTTGTTGGTGCCGATCTGAGGGAAGAGAGCGTCGAGGGTAAGGCGAGTGATATTGATGTGGGGGGCTCGAAGGCTAGTGCTGAAAATGGCAATTGTGATGTCGAGCCGGCAGCTGTTAATAGAGAGAATGGAGATGGGGAACGCGAGTTGGTGAATGGAGAAAATGGGGACCGTCATTCTGACGAGCATATTGTTGCGAACGAGGTTGGATTAGTGGAACAGGAAGGCAATGATGTGCATATTAAAGAAAACAATGTTGTGAACGAGGTTGAATTAGTGGAACAGGAAGGCAATGATGGGCATATTAAAGAAAACAATGTTGTGAACGAGGTTGAATTACTGGAACAGGAAGGCAATGGTGCGCATATTAAAGAAAACAATGAGGAGACCGTGGTTGATGAGGCTGAGACTGATGCAGGTCATGGCAAAACTGTTGACCTGAATGATGGTGAGTGTCATGTTGAGGATCATCTTATGGACAATGGCACTGGAGGGGAAGATTCGCAGGGTGAATTCATCGAGAGCACACTGGCTGGCAGTACTTCAGCTGAAGAGCAAAATCGTGAGGCGGATATTGTGGGATCTCCCCTCTCAAAACAGCATGAAGGGGAGTTTCACATTGACAAGCAAACTGCGGTGGAGTCCTCTTTAGAGGTATCCGATGAATTTTCGGGGTTGTGTGATGCAACAGTTGCGGCATCCAAATTCGATAAAACATTTGAAGTCCCGCAGGCTGACGAAGCAGACTCTTCTGGACAAATGGGCAGAGATCAGGAGTCCTCTTTAGAGGTGGAACCCTCTCTAGAGTCTTCAGAACAACTTTCAGGGTCTTGTGATGTAATTGTTGTGGCATCTGAATGTGAGAGAACATCTGAAGTTCCACAGGCTGACCAATCGGACTCTTCTGGCCAAGTGGACGGAGATCAGAAGTCTGAGTTGAAAATTGTGGATTCTGGTGAAGGTGAGGTTGTCCTCAAGATTGATGACGAGGTTGGTAACGAGGATGAAAAGGTTATGGAGGAAAGCATTTCTTGTCCAGACGTAGATACAGAGCAGAATCCTGAACCTGAGAGAACATTTGAAGTCCCACAGGCCGACCAGGCTGACTCTTCTGGCCAAGTGGATGAGGATCAGAAGTCTGAGTTGACAAATGTGGATTCTGGTGAGGGTGAGGTCGGCAAGATTGATGACAGTGTTTGTAACGAGGATGAAAAGGTTATGGAGGAAAGCATTTCATGTCCAGACGTAGATACAGAGCAGAATCCTGAACCTGAAGTGATTTTGACGAAAGACCTTGTTTCAGACAAGGAGAACTCATTGACAAAAATGGGTGATGATTCTTCTTCAGAAGCAGCCCCAGAGGACATTAGCAATACGATTGCTACAGCAGACACGAGGGCTGGCCCTTTTTCTGATGATACTGGAGATGTTGAGCCAACTGCCACTGCACCTGATCCTATTGCTTCTGAGAATGTCGAGCATGAGGCTGTGACGGACACCCTTGATACGAGTCAAGAGATAAATGAAGAGGCTCATACCTCAGAGAACACTGAAAGCACCCCTTCCTCGGTCAGTTGCGGCAATGTACCTGTTCAAATCGGTAAGGGCTTTCTCATCTCGGCTAATAACATTTTTTGTCGGACATAGATGCAAGGAAAAAGACTTGCAACTCGAATAATTATGTTTCTTCTTTTGGCTGTTAATAATGTGAAACTAATTGCAGAACTTGAAGAAGCGAATGCTGAAGAAAGCCAGACTGGCGTTCCTCAATGTGTTGATGCCAATTTGGAAGTCAGAGAAGAGAATGATTCGACTGTAGTAGATGTAACATCAAGTTGTTCTGCTACTAATTTAAGTGCAATCACGGAGATATGTTTTGGTTCCATCAGCCAGAAAGAAATATCTTCCATTCCTTCGGACAACAATAATGCAGAGCCAAAAGTTTCAAATTCTCTTTCTCTGTCTACTGGAAGCCATCATACCGATACCACAGAAAGCCCTTCAAATGATACAGCTGAAATTGAAAGTTTCTCTGCTCAAGATAGCAAATCGGGATTAAAGAACGAGCTGGATGCTGTATTGGATGAGAAGAGAGAAGATCAATCCACCATTGAGAATGATAAACCGGCATTCTCACAAGCCGAATGTGTTGACGTAGTTGCCCAGAATGATGCAGCACCGGCAGAGGTTTCTGGTATCCCTGCTTCCGAAGAACAGAATGTTGGCAGTGAGTTGGAAAAGAAACTATTTAATGTTCTTGTAAAGATTCCCCGATATGATGACGAAAATTTGAAACAACAGATCAACGAAGCTCAGTTGCAAGTAACTGAGAAGACGCAAAGTCGTGATGCTATTCAAGCTGAAATTCAGATTATAAAGGTATGAACCTTTTTTACATCACATAACTTTCTTACAATCTCTTCCCTAAAATTTCTCTCTCGGATATTGTTTGATTGAACTTTCTGTGGCTAGGCTGCTTGTAAGGAGCACAGTGACAAAATTGAAGTTGCCTTATCTGAAGAGAATGCTGCACGAGAGTTGTTCAAGTCTAAAAGGGAGGAAATAGAGTCTGTTCAATCTGTTATTAACAAGGTGAAGAATGCAATTACAGTGGGTGACTATGATGTAAGGGTAAGTGGTTACTCTAGCTCCCAGCACCGACTCGTAGAGTCGCGAAAGAAAATCCAGAGAGGGAGAGAGCTGGCAGAAGGGAAAAGAAAAATTCTGTATGGATCTATTTGTGCATTTCTTAATGTGTGGCGTTTGTGTTTTCTGCAGATACAGAATATGGAACAAAAGATACAACATGAAACCCTGCCTTTAAAGGAAGAAAAGCAATTGATCCGTGATATTAAGCAACTAAAGTATTCACGAGAGCAGCTTACTAATGATATGGGAGGGCTTGATGAACTTAAGCTGGCTTTGGATCGAAGAGAGCAAACTGAGGAGCGTCTGAAGGTATCCTGTTTAATAGGCCTTAAATGACTTTTTTTGGAGTAGGACCAGAAGTCGTACAATATTTTCACGGAATCACAGAAATAGCTTCTGTGCACTCAGTGCATTCTTCCTTGTTCAGTGTGTGCGAGGCATGGGATGCTAAATTTTGAAGTTTTATATGCAGTCTCTTAGGAGGGAAGCAGATTTGCTCAGAGAAAACGTTTTAAAAGCTGAAGCAGTCACAAAATCTGCGAAGAGAATATACTCCAATGAGAGAGATAGGCTTCGTGAATTGCAGGGTCGGTTTAGAGATGCAGATAAAATACGCCAAGAGGCATATATTCATCTAAAGAATTTAAGGAAGCAATCATCTGAGAAGGTATGTGATCTTCGTGTTTATTTCGACATTTTCTCCAGTCTTGCTGGTCTGTTGATTAATATTTGCAGAACAGACAGCAAATAGATAATGTCATGACAAGCTTCGTGATGACAATAGCCTTTGACACCAAGATCTCGATAAACTGGTATCTGAAAAAGGCTGCCAATTTTAGCGAAATATTGTTTACACTATATTATTCTGGTTTGGCAGAATAAGTTCTTCTGGAAATACAAGGATGATGTGAAGATGTCGATTGATTTGGCGTCAAGGGGAGATAGGGAGGCACTCTCTCGGTTCTGTATTGATCAAGTAAAGTGCATTTTATTTTGTCAATTGCCCTAATTATCTGGATGATCCACCCCGGTTTTGACCCTCAAGAATGTTGATAATTCTTCAGGTGGAGACATTCATGGAATTATGGAACAGAAGTAGTGATTTTAGGGAAGAGTATCTTAAATGCAATGCCCCTAGAACGTTAAGGAGACTTGGCACAGCTGATGGTCGTTCCCTCGGACCCAATGAGGCGATGCCTGCTATTCCTACTGCTGTAAATCAAACGGCAGTTAAAGATAAGTCCATGTCTGCTCTGCCAAGTATAGAGCAAGAAAAGGTACCTGTTGTTGTGGAAGCTAGACCGGCAGCAGATGATAAGTTATCCGTGAAAGAGGTGGAGCAAAAGAAACAGAAAGCCAAGAATAAAAGTTCTGCAAAACCTGTTGCCCAGGTCGAGGACTTGGTAACAGTTTCAAGCAGAGATGTGGTCAACGTGGAAATGGAAGAGCCCAAGCTCTCAAAGGAGGAAGAGGAATTGGCGAAGAAGGCGGAAGAATTGAGGAAGGCGGAAGAGGCCGCTGTGTTGATGGAGCAACGGCGGTTAGAGGAAAAGGCCAAAGCTAAGGAGGCTCTGGAGAGGAAGAAGCGAAGTGCTGAGAGAGCCCTGGCAAGAGCTGTTTCGAAGGCGCAGAAAGAAGCTGAGCAGAAGGAGAAGGTAAAGTGTTATAATAGCACTTTGCATAGAGGGTAGTTATCTCTTTCTAATACCAAGATTATCACTGCCTTGTGTTCTTGTGCAGGAAAGAGAGAAGAAGGCAAAGAAAAAGGAAAGGAAGAAGGCTGGAGGAGCCATTGCAACGCCTTCAGACGCTGGCATTGAAGGAGAAGCCGCTTCTGAGACTGCCGAGGCTCCAGCAGATTTTGATACTAAAGACAAGCCTGCAGTGACGGTGAAGAGATCTCAAAAACCGTTGCATTTCGTTAAACAAACCAAAGTAAAGCCCATCCCTCCCACTCTTCGCAACCGAAGCAAGAGAAAGATGCAGCCCTGGATGTGGGCCGTCCTTGCTGTGCTGCTTGTTTTTGCCCTATTTATGGTGAGCAATGGCTGGAATCTCTTCTAATCGGATATTGATTGTTTGGTTTACGAGTGCATCTGGACTTCGGCTTACATGAGGTTGCATCAGGTATTATATAGGTAAGATATACACAAGTGATTCTTTTATATATTCAGGGAGGGTTTTGAGCTAAATTGGTGTTCTTTTTATTATAAAGAGGCCTTTTGGCCTTCACATACGGCAAATAGATTGGTTGGTCTGTTCTCTTCTTAGTATTTATTGCTATAAGCAGATATTAAAAGGAACAGAAAGTGTTGCTTCTATTTGTTATGATTCTGAGCTAATAATTCTGGTGCCTCTCTCCCTCTTCTCTCTCCCTCTCTCCAATGTTAAGTTTCAGCTGAAGGCAACAATTACACTGGTACGTGAGCCTTCAGCTGTCTCGCCGTTACTGGTCACATACATAGGGGCACAATCACTTGAAGAATGGTCGTTTGTCATCTGTCGGCTGGACATTCACATAAATGTGTAAAGGGTCTTGTGAACGAGTGCTTTTGGGATACTTGCTAAGCCTACTTAATAAAGGAAATGTTTTGATTTTAATGCATTGAGTTAGTGGGTCAAAAGTTACAATCCTTCCGTTACAAAATCCATGTGTTCATTAATCGTTTTAAGATCCAAAGGGTAACTTTTGTCATCCTAGAAACTCCTGCCTCGTCAAGCAGGTAGATTTTGAAACAATGACAGTCCATTCTTGAAAAGAAACATAGTAGGCTCTTTTGCGGGCTTGGCCAAATTAGAGAAACTAGTCCGGCGCATGCGACGAACCCAAGCCAAGCCGCGGCACACATTTTTATGCAGTTCCTATTCTTCTCTTCTTCTTCTGCCATCGCACTTCCCTCCTTTGGCGACATTCTGAACCAAAGCTTCCCCAACCCCTTCCCCGAGGGCCTCAACTAGCGCTCCGATAAAGTTGCAAACCACTCGCGTGGCCAGCCGAGCTGCAGCCCCGAGCATGCTTGGCTTCTCAACTCCTTTGATATCATTGTCATGGAGTCCGTTGACGATGCTCTTAGCGCAGACCGCGTGGAGATGGTAGTCACAGACCGTGCATCGGTATACTCGGCCCGACCTCCTCCTCCTGCATTCCCCGCAGACGAAACCAGGGTCAGCACTCGACGAAGCCGCCGGTGGCAGAAGCTGCAGCGTGTGAGGATGGTTAGAGAAGATGATGTCCTTCGGTAGCATCTCGCAGCACGGGTGCATCTGGAAACTACAAGTTCCGCAACGGAAAGCGTAGCCCTTGATGGGTTTCCCACAAGCATCGCACCTCGATTTTGCTATTCCGCTTTTCACTGCTTGAAATTTCCAGCGCAAAGTCAATGACACTAGGCCCAAACGAAGTATTAACTAATATTCGACCAAAACAAGAAGTATTAGCTAACATGAAAACGAGAGAAAACTTGCCGAACCATTTCTTTTTTCCGGGATAATTTTGCTGAATTTCTAACCTTGCTTAAAGTGAGTGTATCATCCCAAGTCGAGAACTAACATTGTGCACCTTGAACTTAAACTTATAATCATTCGATGGAGCATATATCACCTTGCTGTCCATATTCAACATGCCAGTCCATCTATAGAAATGTCATCTCGCTAACAGAAAAATTGACTACACAATTCGATGGTCGTTCCTGATATGAAAGTGAAAGTGGAGTGAAAGCCGACCCTAAGCAGGATCCAAAGACGTTCAAATCCAGTACAATTCGATGGTCATCAACGATAACATCCGATCTAGGTTCACTTTCCTCGAAGGTACTAACGTAAAAGGTCCTAATGGTATGGGCTGCCAAGTGCAATTCACAACGAAAGTTCATTGGTACTTTTCTAAATCCCCCATCTTCCGTATATATCGTGGGGTTAGGTGGAAATCTCCCAGGCCTTCTCCTGGATAGATAGATAGATAGACGGGTTGAGGAATAGTTGAGAGTGCTGCTCTTTTCCCGGTATAACCAGGAAAGACTCGCAAGTCGACGTTGTTCGGGGTTCATGTAAAGCTACTCGAGCATAGGGTGTGGCCGGCGGCCTGTTGAACGTAATTTCTCGGCTTACCTCTCGTGCGCAGACTGCACTCCGAGAAACTCCCACGTGATCAGCTACGGAGTGCAACATGTGTGTGGATTGCACATACATAACAACAATGAATTCACCTGGCTTGGGATGGAAAAAGAGGTCGTGCTGGTGGTGGAATGGATGGTTCTCGAGGACCTGATTAGGAGAGGCCAGGGCACAGAACTCGTGCAGCTGGAAGTCGCAGAGCTGGCACGTGTACCGCTTGCCCGCACCGTACTCTCGGCACCCCGCGCACGTGAAGAGGTCGGGCAGGTCGATCTTGGACAGGGCGTGCTGCGGGTGGCTGGAGTGGATTATCTCCTCCCCGAGAATCAGCTGTGGAGACGTCGGGAACTCGACCAAAAGCGACTTCCTCCGGGTGTATGTCGTCTCCGACGACGAGGGCAAAGTGGTGGTCGGGGGAGGAGGAGGAGGAGGAGGGGAGGGAAGTTTTTCGGTTGATTGAGACCTCTTGAGGCTGTGTGTTCTGGACTTGATCATGGACTTTGCTCTCAACATGGTGATGGAATGTGCAAAAATCCCTCTGAACCAAAAGTGGGGGTGCAAATTGGAGAACAGGGAGGAGAATAATTAATAGGGGAGAGGAAAAGATTGGTACTGTTTGCAAAGAAGGAACCATGCACAAAGAGGATGCCAGCAAGACAAATTTTTATTTTTTATTTTTATAGTTAGATTTGCATGTGCTAAGTATGCTGCCACAACTTTTTCCTCCTATCTGATGGAAAAGACAGGTAATTCAAGAGAAAGGAGCAGATACCTGCTCGATCGAGCTATAGATTCTTTGTTTCCCGATTGATTAATTATGTGTGTTTGGTTTCTATTTGGATGATTCTCCATACAATTCTGGCCAGTCCTTACATGAGAATTGTTGAGTGAATCTCATCTGCAGATGAAGTCATTCTGGATGAATAATTCTTGAATTGAGGATAGGAAACAACAAATCCGAAACTTATGGCATGTAAGCTGCAAAAACAGCACCCCAAGATCACCATAACCAGAATCTATAACACGGTAATTGAGAAAAAGGGATTTGTGCACCTGATTTAGGATACATCAAGAACACAAATGCATCCCCTATATTACCCAATGTATCACTGGTTCAATGAGATTGCCTCTCACGTTTCTTTACGTGAGGTTATTTATGTATTAGGGTTAGATGAAAGACTTGAGCACTATTTATAGAGTTTTAAGTCACAGACCCTCTCATTATAGGTAGGGCTTTGCGCAGCCCACACAGACTAATTAACAATCTTTATATCTTACCTTATTAGATCTCACATTTCTTTATGTGAGGTTATTTATGTATTACGGTTAGATAAAAGACTTAAGCACTATTTATAGAGTTTTAAGTCACAGACCTTTTCATTACAAGTAAGGCTTTGCGCGGCTCATACAGATTAATTAATAATCTTTATATCTTACGTTATTAGATCAATCCCATAAAACGATAAATATCAATCTCAAAAAATATAAGTTCACATCAGAAAAACTTTGACATGACCCACTCTTTAAAGAGAGAATGAAATTATGTGCCACCTTTGATTCCAATCATCGGCAAGCATTTTCATTTTCATTCGATCTTTAAGAATTCCAAAGCATTTTCTCAGGAATTTCAGGAAATTTCTCATCTGGACCCACAATTTCTTGCCCGCGAAGACAATTATAGTCTCAAAACGTTGGAATTTCACCAAAGAAAGTCTGTCAGCCCTTTTTATGCCGTCTTTTCAAATATCTTTCCATGATTCAAGGGAGAAGCAAATCCATCATTCCTTGGTTTTCTACATTGTGCGCTGGGCGGCATCTTGTGATTTTTCCCTCCGCTTTAAATGGGTGCTTTTTGGCAACATCTTGACTTGGGGTGACCGATGCCCAAATAATTAAATATGTGTTTCACAAGTGATTCCCAATGTCTGTGCTTTTAGTTCTTCACACCAGGAAGAAACCACAAAAAAGGTGATACCATATGGAAAAGAGAGATATTCCATGATTGATCTTATTGGCAAAATTTCTATGAATCCCTCGTATCGAACCGCTTTTTTTCAAAAGAACCACTCGAAGCGACGCTTCTCTGAAAAAACTTTCAAAGTGGGACGATTTTTTTGGGAGGAACAAACTTGCCCTTGTCCAATGGTAAAAATTTGATCTTGTCATCTGCACACGGTCGTCGGAAGGTGCTTTTCATCACTGACGATGAGGCAGAGGGTCTCTCGGAACATGGTGGTTCGCTTTGGAGGGTGTTCAGGGACGAGCATCGTTTTGAGGGATCTTTTGAGAAAAAAACGCTCAATTTGGGGGGGGGGGGCCTATTGAATTTTGTCAAGGATGGGGTGGTGTTGTCAAGCAATGTGATTTTAAGCTTTGATATTTATCCCTTGAAAGATGTCATGATAATTGTCTTGCATACAGACAGACTTTTAAGGTCCCAAATTCCTACGGACTTCATGCTTTCCGTGAAGAATATATGCATGAAGAATAGAAATTCTAAGGGATTGTAAAGGGGAAAATGAGATAGTACAGGACTACTTCATATAGAGGAACGAATTCGGACGTATCGATAAAATGAAGTAAGAGGATGCGTAGCATCTTGATTACATAAGAAAAAACACGCTCGAGCATTGCGAGTGGCCATGACGATCTAGAAACTGAAGTCGAAAAGCACCGGGTCAAATGCGACAATGGATTAAATAGACCTTATTGATTGTGGAGGGCTTTTCGTACATGTTTGGCGGGGCCTTCATCAAACCCGCAATGATAGTCTGTTTCACAATGTTAAATGCGACATTACAAGCCAACATTGGCCGAATAATATCCAACGTTTGTTTATACAGCAATTCCCAATAGACCTCCTCCATTGACTCTGGCTTCTATTAAGTGCGAACATTTGAAGAGAAAAAATAAAGAAGAAGACAAGCAAATTTTTATGTGGAAGGTCTTGGGCTTCTCTTACCTTAAAAGCTAACTCAAAGGGTGAAACTTTCCCTCATGCTTATTAACTAGCTACATGCCCCTTTCACAATCGATCTAGGATAACCCAAACAATTTCTCTCTTACACATTGGGCCTTAGGTTGGAGTAGTAACAACTTGTCTCTCCTATGTGGCTAATGGGTCTAGACTTGTTGGTAACTGGGGCTTTAGTAACAATGATGAATGGCTTTGGGCCTCTCTCACCGTAAATGTTAGTTCAAAGGGCGATGTTTTCCTTCACACTTATAAACTGACCACTAAACCCTTCCAGAAACGATGTGGGATAACCCCAACAGTTTCTTTCTAGATAAGGGTAAATGTAGGATTCCTAAGATACAGATAATCCTCGATCTGTATCTTTTAGAAACCAAAATCATTTCCATCAAATCTATCGATTTTCACATTTCCTTCTTTAGTTGCCACGATTCGCTTCAACTCGACCAAGTTTTGGCTCTAATATCAATTGCTGAGGAAAATAAGCGATCAAATAATAAATTATATAGAAAAGGCAATAACTCAGACATCATATTTTCGTGATTTAGTCTGTATGACATGAAATTCTAAGATCAAGCTATACAATGAAAACTACAAGCACACTTGAGTCACGCAAACACTTTCAGTGTCTCCCAATCCCAATTACATCTAATAACTTACGCAATGTTTAGCCCTTACAATTACTCATGAACTCAATCTTACAAAGGAGTTCACAAATCTTATCACAAGATTTATTAACTTCAATACTCTCGGATTGCTTCAAAATGTAATTCACAAGAAGTCGTCTCTTTGATACTCTTCACAATGAAGACACTTCTTATATCTAGATAAGAGTAGGATTAGAATATCCACTCCAACTAGGAAATCTATTCAAATTAGAAAACCTACTTGAATTAGGAAAGTTTCATTTTTAGGTTTTAACTCAAGACATATTTCCAATTAATATTGCACTTGATGACATGTTGGGTAGCAATAGTAAAGTCGTTAGTAAGGTTACCCAATATTTGGCAACAACATGGGAAGAGGCACAAGGTCTGGCTATCATCCCAAGGAACTTTGTGCTTGCCTTTAGCCTTCAGCTATTAGCTTTTCATATTCTACTGCGTGAATATATGACTCTACTAAGTTTATAATGAATGTTGGTCATGTGTTTTTTCTGCACCGGAAATTTATATTGCGAGCGGTGGTTATGTTGTTTATTGTGCACCCTATTTCTTACATAGCGATTTTCTTCGTCAGTGAGGAAAGGAAAGACTCAAAAGGAGTGTTGACTAGTGTATCAATTAAGGCGGAATAGGTCCACAATACTTGGTCAAACAACCAAGACCTTGGGATCAAGCAACCCCAGTCAAAATATGCGAACGAAGAGGATTAAAAGAGTGCTTTGAAGGCGTAGGGATTGCTGTTTTGCAGATAGAGGAGTCTTGATTCTTCATCGTTAACGCTTTCCATCACTTCACGGGACTCGATGTTCTAGACTATTTTAAATATGGAGGATCCTGTATCTCGAATGTGATCTTTGTGCTAGGATAGGCACACCTGTGGTTCATATTGTGCAAAATATTGAGGTGTGGTTCATACTCCTCATCGATAGGAAGGCACGTGAGTCCTATATAGGGTAGCGCCCTCAGGCCTTTAGAGGACTCTCGAATCTCTAGCATTTTTTTAGCCTCCACTGATTAAGCATTGAAACAACAACTTGTTAGTAGCTTGCATGGTGTGGGATTTTGACGTTGGAGAATGCAAAGTGTAAAGCTTGTCCAAAATCTAAAGGTACGAAGTGGATGTTCAAGGTTTTCATTTTCCTATATGGTTTCCCCTGATTCCTGTGAAGCAATATTACCAAGAAGCCAAAAAAAAAAAAAAAGCCCTTTAACTTTTACTTTTTGGGCCTACACTGTAGCTATTTTTTTGGGAGTTCTTTGTAATACGAAAGAAGCAAGTATCTTTCATTCTTTATTTGCTTTTTCTTTTTCATTTTTTTTGGCTCTTTTTAAAAAAATAGAAAGTAGCTTCACCTCTTGCACAAAAGGAGACAGGAAATGATCAAGAGGAAGAGAAAAGAAAGAAAGCATCATGCTGTTAGAAGAAAACTTTTAATTTTATTTTGATGAAATGAATATCTCGAATTTGTTTGTTTAATCTCTATGCACGCACTCGAGTCGTGTTGTTTATTCATAAAGTTAAAAGACCGGCAATATTTAATGCTAGTGCTATACATTATCTTCAAAGATTCGATAGGAATTCCCGGGAAAGCTAATTGATTATCAACATGCTATTTCATCGGGCATCATATCTGAAGAAGGGACGGCATGAAAAAGAAAACCAAAAGAAAGAAGGAAAGAATAGACGGCCGTCGGGGATTGGCGCAGTTGGTAACTGTATCGGGACATTTTCAGCTTGAGAATCGAAAGTCATATGTCAAAATCCCGCCAACCGCGTGTGAAGTACTCTGACTCGATATCACTTGTAATAGGTGTTTAGACGACGGAGTCTTGCACTAATGCTCGGGAAATTGGTCACCACAAGATAAAAAGGCAATGAAGAATCAGTCAAACTAAGTTAAAAGTCATATTGCCCAACAGCAAATGGCAACAAACCTCTCTTACAACCGCCAGCTACCAAATGCCCCCAAGTATTCTAGCTGTAAGCAAAAGCACCCTCACCCGTCCCTTAAACTATGTTATTTTCATTTCTTTTGTCAA